ACGCACACACACACACACACACACACTCTCTCTCTCTCCAACTCTCTCTCTCTCACACACACACACCCTCACACACACACTCACACACACACACACACACACACACACGCACACGCACACAGACGCACACACACACACACGCACACACACACATGTTCCTGCACACCCGTTCACGAAATGAATACTCATGCTTATATAAAATACGCTTTACTTTCTGTACTTCACTTCTTTTTTTTAAAGTTTTAGCTCGTGTTTTACGGCTCTTGCAATACAATAAGGTCATATAGGTGCCGAATATTAGAGGTGTTACAAGAGATTACCAAACACAAAAAAGAAGGAGGGGAGATAAGGACGATAGACCTTTGATAGGGAAGAAGAAGCAAACCAGACCAGAGCACCCGCCAACCACTCACTTCTTTACTTTCTGTAATTCTGTCTGTCTAGTAGTAGTATAAGGTTTTACGGCGCTCGCAACTGCTAAGGTCATATGAGCGCTTTCTGTCTGTCTAACTTCTGATCATGATTGTGTCATTTTTAAAAAAATTGTTTGTTTTTTTTCTGTACTCAAACAAACAATAGATGGCATTTTTATCGAGCAAATTTCCGCTCAACACAGCAAGCTCTATGCGCTTTACAAGCTATACTATTTCCCCAGCAGACCTGATAGCATTCTGAAACAATCTAAATTTCCTGGGAAGCATACAGTGCAAGCTGCCATTTTTAAAGGCGCTAAAACACTAGCATACCGAGAAGACCTTTCGCTGCCTATGGCTGGGTGTCCATTCATACCTGCGTGAAGTGAGGAAAATGCGTGTAAAGTGCCTTCTCCAAGGACACAACGTCGGGCCTGAGCCTCGAGCCTCCGAACCCGCAACCTCACGATTACTAGTTCGTTAGATTGTTTTTGTTTTTGTAAGTGTTTCACGGCGCTCGAAACTTCATAACGTTATATGAGCGCGCAGGACACATTAAACTTTTTCAGTTGGTAGACAATTTTTAAAAATTTTGCCCGGGTAGCGGCCGAATCCTACTCTTATCGATTTTAGACCACCAAGGGATCTTTAACTTGCACACGGGCCCTCCGAGATTTTTAGCCCTTGTCCGAGAAGGCTAGGTGTAGATCTTTCCTACCAGAAGGTCAGGGGTGTGGCTGAAAGACAGCTGTGAGAAGGAGCCGAGGAGTAACAGTAGAAAGGCGGCAGAAAGAGCCTGGAGCTCAGAAGAGGGGGCAAATGGATGTGAGGGGGTGGGGGCAGAAAAAGGAGACGAAAGAGAGCAGGAAAGGAGGTGAAAGGAGACAATTTTAGAGAAGAAAATTTTTCGGTCGCTACCCGGATTCGAACCCGGGACCTTTGAATGAGAGGCCAACACCTTAACCTCTAAGCCACGAGAGCCCCCAACCACTAGATTACCGACGAAGAAACGTACAAACCAACCAACAAACAAACAATCAAACAAACAATCAAACAATCAAACAACCAAACTTACAAACCCTGCTAAACATATCG